AAAAACAGAGAGAGAGAGAGAGAGAGAGAGAGAGAGAGAAAAAGGGGAAAAAAAAGTTAATACAATTTCCTAAAAAATGCTCATATACTTGCACCTTGAACCACTCAAGAAAAAGCATATCTCCTAGCTTCAGCATTATCTTCCGTAAGTTGTTAAATAACAACCAATATTTCTTGCTTTGAGGAATCAAGAATTATTAGTATCATCTTGTTGTGGGAAGTTGGTAAAATGTTTGGGTTGTTTTCTTTGTCGATTTTTTCGTGGTGATTTTATCCGTTATTCACCGAGTATTATTTGGCACTTACTCTTCTCAGAGAAAGGACGATTTTGAATCAGTGGTGATGGAGCACCTACGAATGAATGGTGCTTACTGGGGATTGACTACTCTTGATATTTTAGGAAACCTTGGTGCAGTGATCAAGATGAGGTTGTTTCATGGGTCATGCAGTGCCAGCACGAATCTAGTTTGTATTCCTCTTGAATTTTATGATACCCAAAGTGGTTGATTATATATTTACAAGTGATTAAAAATGTGTGTTAACGGATGCGTACTCGTGAATGAATGAGTTCATACAAGTGATCTTTCATCTTCTTGTGTGAGATAAGCTGCTGATAAGGGTAAGTGCACTTCTGATTATTACTATTATTATTATTTTTTTTCTTTGCACCTTATTTGTGGCTTCATTCATGCAGGAGGTTTTGGGGGAAATATAGGACATGACCCTCATGTATTGTATACACTCAGTGCTATTCAGGTCTTAGCCCTGTTTGACAAGATAAATATTCTTGATGTTGAGAAGGTTGCCAACTGTATCTTTCAATTTCTACTTTTACTTGAAGTAGGCATGCAATTGAACTTAAAGATGTTAAATTACAAAAAAAGCCTAAAATGCTATTTCAAAGTGTCGTATGAGTTTGCGGTTGTTAACAGTTAAGACGGTAGTTTCTCCCAAACACCTGGATTTATTTGGATGACTGTTTAAGTTGGTTCTAGCAGTAAATATTTTCCTTTTTTTTCCTGCATACCAAATAAAGAAAAAATGGTCTATTTGGTAAAAGAAAAACCTCAACTTAATTGCTAGATATTGCCAGCCTACAAAATGAAGATGGGTCCTTTAATGGTGACATATGGGGTGAAGTTGATACAAGGTATTCTTTTCCCCCACTACTCTCTGTAAGTCCCTGCAGAAAGCTAACTATTATTTTTATGTTATTAAGTTTTAGACGTGTATCATCATTTTCAATATTAAACTACGGTTAACTACTTTTCAGGTTTTCTTACACTGCTATATGCTCTCTTGCATTATTACATCGCTTGGACAAAATAAATGTGGAAAAAGTTGTAAACTACATTGTGAGTTGCAAGAATTTGGATGGTGGATTTGGATGCACTCCGGGAGCAGAATCTCATGCTGGACAAAGTATGTATTATGTCCTAATGCCATTCAGTTTCTAGTGGATTGTTTCTTATTTTCAGTCAGCTACCACAATTAGATGGATGCAAACAATATTATTACACAGTACATCTCGTATGATAATGAAGTACATAGCATCTTAAACAATTGACTTGACAAACTAACCAAAAAACGAAATATAAAAAATAATGTCATAAGCCACCTAGAAATGGTATAGCAGAAACTCGCAGATGAAACAACTCGTTTAGCAGACATTTTCAATTTGAGTCTCATCACGGTTAGTCTCGTGTAGGAACTAAGGGGCAAAGAACTTTATGAACTATATTGCAGTTTTCTGTTGTGTGGGGGCCCTTGTTATTACTGGTTCATTGCATCATGTTGATAAGGATCTCCTCGGGTGGTGGTTATGTGAACGACAAGTGAAATCGGGAGATCTAAATGGGCGGCCCGAAAAGCTTCCTGATGTAGGTCACAGTTTATAGTTTATGTATACACTGGCTTAAGAAATGCAAATAATTTTTTTAAAAAAAAAAAAAATTCAAGAGCACGCTTATGATTTACTACCCTTTACCAACTCCAGGTCTGCTATTCATGGTGGGTTCTTTCCAGTTTGATCATGATCGATAGAGTTCACTGGATTGACAAGGAAAAACTCGTTACGTTCATATTGGATTGTCAGGTTATTGAGCTTTTCAGATTAAATATTTTATTTGGTATTTGGAGGCACGGTTTCCAAAATTTCGGTTATCATCAAAGTAAGAAATTTTGGGCCAATGTGTGGTTTAACGGTGCAGGATAAGGAGAACGGTGGAATTTCTGATAGGCCAGATGATGCAGTTGATGTTTTTCACACCTATTTTGGTGTAGCTGGTAAGATTGGAGCCTTTTAATCCCACTTAACATGTGGATTAGTTACCGAACTTAGTTACGCATCTCAAGAATTAAGAGACTGTGTTAATCTGTTTCTATCGTGTCTTCAAAATTGTGACTTTCTTTGATTTGCAGGCCTATCTCTTCTCGAATATCCTGGTGTGAATGCTATAGATCCAGCATACGCATTGCCAGTTGACGTTATAAATAGAATCTTCATAGGCAAATAAATGTAGCCTCGAATGGATTTTATCATTGTTTTACCGATAAGCGATGAAATAGCTAATAATGATGCAAATATCGTCTGTGTACTCATTGTGATTTTGTATAATCATCAATATTTTTTTTTTGTTTCTTCATTAGTTTCACACATGCAGTTGAACTTTGATGATAAGTTTTTGTTGCAATATGGAGATTGTTTGATTTGAGTTATGTTCAGTTTTAGTTGCAACTTCGAGATTGTTTAATTTTAGTTGCCGGAGCTCGAGTTCCGTCTTTCATGTGTCAGTTCCCAATACTAGAGGGTTATTTTGAAAAGAAGATAATGTTTCATTGGATAAAGTGAGTGGAGAATGTTTCAACGGGCTGCTTGTATACAAATATATCTGCTCAAAATGAGTTTTTTGGTTAATCAGAATTAATTTTAACAAAGTGTATAGTTAGTTGATAGTGAGATTGTAATTTTATATTGAAATAATTTTTGAAATAAAATAATTAAAGTTGATTTGATGTAAAAGTAGAAGATAAATTATATGAAGTGATAGTTAGTTGAAATTATATGAGTAGATTAAAGTTGATGTGATCTGTTAGAATGGTTGGTTGATTTTATTTAATTATATCGATAATATTAAAAATAGTGGAGTTGAGTTAAAGTTGAATTAGATTTTAAGTATGAATTGTGTAGGAATTGAGATATTTCATATACGTATCATGTAAAGTTCTCAATACTCTGGATTATTTTGGGAAAAAAAAATGTTTCGTTGAATAAAGTGAGTGGGAGAGTGGAAAAAATTGTGTGTAAGATTGAATTAATTTTGAATTTGTAAATTTATATGAGATTTAAAGTTGATGTAATATATTTTATTAAAATTATTATTATAAATGATTAGTAGTTAAAAATATATAGAAGATAAATAGTGAATTTTATTAAAAAATTGTATAGTAATGACTGTATATATTTTTTAATTGTGATGACAAGATTGATAAAAGAAAAAAATGTATCCAATCAACAAACAATTATATTTGGAGTACTAAATTTTTCTCATAAAAAATAATGGTATATGTTTACAATTCAAGTTCATTTGTTTTTGAAAAGAGTAAATGCTACACAACTTGGGTGACAACTTGTGTTACAACCCAAGTGTAAATGCATTATCAAGAAATTTAAAAATAATGCATTTTGTTGGTATGGCTCATATATTGACAAAGGAAGAGGGCAGGTTGATGCCTGCGAGCGTAACGGAGCGAACGTAGCGAGGGAAGCGGAGCGACCGAGCGAAGTGAGTGGAGTGGAGCATAGATAAGTGTGTAAATGGGGCCCAATCAGCTTTTTTGCCAGGCAGAAGTTTAACTGACAACGTGGTTATTGCAAATGAGGGTCTTCATTTTTTAAACCGTCACAGAACATGGAAGCATAAGTATATGGCGGTTAAACTTGACATGATGAAGGCTTATGATAGAATTGAGTGGGCCAGTATTAGACTTACTATGCTCAGGATGGGTTTTGATCATAAATTTGTGAGATGAATCATGGAATGTGTGTCTACTGTGTCTTTCTCTTTTATCATTAATGGCTGCACCACTGGATATGTATTTGCTCAAAGAGGAGTTAGACAGGGAGACCAATTGTCTCCCTATCTATTTATTATTGTTTCTGAAGTGCTATCTGCTTTGATTAACTTTGAAATAGAAAGAGGGGCGTTAAGAGGGGTATTTGTGGCTAGAGGTGCTCCTATGATTGCTCATTTATTATTTGCGGACAACTCTCTGGTTTTTTGTAAGGCAGACAAGTACCAAGTTCAGGCTCTATTATCTGTCATCTCTCTATATCAAAGATTTACAGGGCAGAAAGTCAATACAGCTAAGTCCTCGATATTCTTCAACAAGAACACTGAGATTGCAGTACAGAATGAAGTGTGCCATTTTTTCCCAGGAATAAATATTCGGAGGTCCATCAGATACATGAGAATGCCTCTTGGCATAGACAGGTCTAAGAAGGAGGTTTTCAGTTTTGTAACAGAGGCTGTGAGGAAAAGGTTAATCAGCTGGAAGAACAAATACCTCTCCTCAATAGGGAGAGAGGTTCTCATCAAATTTGTACTTAATGCTCTTTCATTGTTTGTTATTTCCTGCTACAGGCTACCAGCTAGCATATGTAAGGAGGTGGCTAGAATGTTCTCTCAGTTTTGGTGGAGTGGAGGAGATGAGCAGAACAAAGGGTTACATTGGAGAAGATGGGAGTTGCTTACTTTAACCAAAGATTAGGGACGACTGGGTTTTAAAGAAGTTAATCTTTTCAATGATGCAATGTTAGTCAAGCAACTTTGGAGAGTAATCACTCACCCTCAACTTCTCATGAGCAAGATTTTGAAGTGCATGTATTTTCCTAAAACCTCTATATTTGATGCTCATTTGAATCAAAACTCTTCTTGGTAATGAAGGTCCTGGTGGAAAGTAAGGAGTTTGCTGAGAGAAGGACTGCATGTGAAGATTAAAAATGGAGCATCTGTGAGACTGAAGGATCATAACTGAGTGCCAGGTATTAGAGGAAGAAGTCTATATCTCAAGCAGGACACTAATGGAAAAAATATCAAGGTGCAGGAACTGATTGATGGTGCAAGGAATAGATGAATTGAGCAGAAGGTTAGGGAACTGATTGAAGAGGAAGACTATAATGCTTTGTTGCAAATTAAGGCTCTGGACATATATGCTGAGGATAAATAGAGATGGACTATGGGAGTACAAGGCAGATTTTCAGAAGCTTCTTCTTATACCTTCATTCACAAACAGAAATTGCTAGGACTGGATTTGGATGAGGGGAGTGGCACATCCAGAAGGAATCAATGAATCAGGCGGAGGACTTGGATTCTCCAAGTTAGAGATAAGCTGAAACATTTTCTATGGAAATGTGTTAGTGGTTCTTTACTTGTCTGTGCAAATCTGAAAAAAAAAATAAAAAATAAAAAAAAAATAAAGAGGAATAGATGTTGATGTTATCTGTTGTTGTTGTGGAGAAGCAGTGGAGACATTAGAACATGTGTTATTAACCTGCAGGAGAGCTAAAATGATTTGGCATCAAGCACATGTTAGCTGAGATGGTTTGACAGTAGAGAAGGACATACTTGTAGATTGGTGGGGATCTGTGTGCTCTATCACAAACACTGGAATGGATGAAGCCAAAATTAAACTCTCAACTTACATATTATGGTGACTATGGAAGGCTAGAAATCTGTGGGTTTTTTATAGAGTGTGGAGGCCGGATCATGGCATTGTGGAAGGTGCATGGCCGGAATGGCAAGAATTTAATGCTATCAAGACTTGCAGAAGGAACAGAGTGATCTAGATAGGTCTGCTTGCAATTCAGTGTCTCAGGTTGTTTTGTTTTGTCTGTTAGGGTCATTTGCTTGTATTCTTGGTTGTCATTTGTGTATTTGGATCTGTATTTTCATCTGGAGGGTTCAGGAGTGTTTGTTTCTGCCTCTGGAGTTGATGTATTGTGTTGTTATGTTTAGCCTACCTAATGTGGTAGTGCTCTATAGCTTTAGTCTTCAACTTGAACCTTAAATTTTTTGGCTTATTGATATGGTGATATTCTATCGTTTGGAAAAAAAAAAATTATAACAAGTCAATCTCAGCTTATTGGTTGAGTTCACAAGTGAGCTTGTTCATAATCTCTAATTCCACCCTATTGTTTTTTTACCAATACACGTGTTTTAAAAAGCGCATTTTCGCGCTCTATATAGCGCGAAATAGCATGACATGACACGCTTTTCTTGCGATGTCTTACGTTTTTTTCCGTAAATTTCTCACGCTATTGACCCTTTTTTCAATTTTATAAGCAGAAATAAAAAAAAAAAATCGAAACAGACCTCAGGGTTCACTCATGTAACCCTCATTTCATCTCTTCATCATCTCACTGGTTCCACCGCAGCCTCCGCGGCTCCACCACAGCCCGACGAGAGTAGGAACTCCTCCGCCTCCTCACAACCAACCTGATTCTTACAACATCTCGCATCTCGCCACTCCAATTCCCTGATATTCAGCTCTCTCTACACCCAAATTACATGCTCCTCGGCTCTCGCTACCCTACATCCCCCGCTCCTTGGCTCTCGACTCCTGACTCCAAAGGTATTTTTTTTCCAGATGATGAATAGCTTCATCCAAACTTCAGTTGAAATTGGGGCTTTTTTTCACTCACTTGGTGATATAGATTTTCTGTTTAATTAGCATGATCATTTATTTAATTAATAGAATGAGATATAAATGATTGATTGGTTCTTGCTGTTTTGAGGGTTGATTTTTTTTTTTCTTTGATGATTTGGTGATTGGGGCTTTTTTTTCAATAAATCTGGGGCTGTTTTTTTCTTTGATTTGTTATGAGATTATGAACACCCTGATTTTCCCACAGGCCCCATTGACTGGTTCTTGTTGTAGTTTATAAAGAATATGTTGCCTTTATTTTCAGTTATCAGTATTGAACATGGACTAAGGTTCAAATGATATTTCTAAACTAAATTGATAGTTTGTTTGTCAGCTAAGAAAATGGGATAAGAGATTCATATAGGACTAAGATTCTAGACATAACTGAAGGGTGTTGTGAATACTTTTGATCACAGTCAAATATGCACTTGCAATTACTGTTGTGATTTGTGAACAAATAAATAAACTTTGTGTTACTTTTTTTTTCATTTTCAGTTTAAATGTCGGCAAATAGAGATATCGGCTGGAAATATGAATTTAAAGCAGACGGGGTAAAAAACTATTGGATGACACCCATTATTTTTAGATTTTGAGTCTTTACTTTAAACATTAAGAGCTTGTTTGAAAGAATTAATATTTGAATGTTATTTTATAGATTTAATGTCTAAGTTTATGTTTAAGACCATTTCATTTATACTTGTATGGTTATATATATTATTATTATTTTTTACTTGAAAATTGAATTGTTTGAATAGCTTACGCAATGAGCTACCCTATTTCCGCTACGCAATATAAGAACAAAACACGACGC